CATACCTTGATATAAAATAATTAGAAATTTCAATTTAATATATTAATACTCTTATAATTGTATTTATTATTTAACAACCTCTTATTTATTTGGAAGTACCCCAGCGGTATAAAGTGATCTTCCGGGGTTATATTATTTGTAAAATATAAGAGAGATATTACATTTTGGCACCCAACATGGGGCCTTAGAGAGAAATACTTTATTAAAAGTAATGCTGCCCTACTACATAGGGTTGCTTCATACACAGCATACTTATCAATCCATACGGACATTAATTTTATATATATATATATATATATATATATATATAAAGTATCAAAGGCATGTATCAAATAGAAAAAAAAAAATTATATATATATATATATATATATATATATATATATATATATATATATAAATTTTTTTTATATATAGAAAAATATATTTTATATTTTTTATATATTTTATATAGAAAAATATACACTGGAGCCAGGATCCCTTCTCTCATCCTATATGTTCAAGGGTTGCCAAAGATAAATCCCGGGGACACTACAAGGAAGTGAGTTTGAACTTAAATCCCCCAGTGAGTAATACACTGACAGGAAAAAAATTACACCCACTTGATTTTTTCATCTAAAAATATTTCACCCACTTGTAAAAAAAGTTGTATTTGTAGATAATACTTAGTATTTATGGAATTTTATAATATTTTTTGCCTTTAATAATCAAAATGTGATTGGGTAAGAAAGATTAGAGAAAAAAAATTGAAAAACGAACCATTATTATTCTAAAAGAAATTAATTACATCATCGTTTAGTAGCGCATGTTTCCTCCTCTTGTCTTCACTACTTCTTGAAGACGCCTCGGCATACTTTCCACCAGTCGGGAAATATCCCTTTGCTGGAGGATAGCCCATTCCTCCCGAAGAGCTCTTTCAAGGTCCTGCAGTATATCAGGAAGTGTGCACGCGCCCTTATTCGTCTTCCGAGGTTATCCCATAAATGCTTAATGGGGTTCAAATCTGGAGAATGTGCTGGTCAGGCTAAAACCTCAATATTGTTCTGTTGAAGGAACGTCTGCACTATGCGGGCGTGCATTATCGTGGATTAGAATAGAACTGCATATCTTTCGTTTCTTCTTCTCCACACCCTTTCACGCCCGTCTGGAGTTCGAAGAGTGAATCTTGACTGATCTGTAAAAAGTACAGCACTCCATTCGTTCATAGTCCAATGGCTGTATTCTCGAACAAAAGCCAGCAGTGTTACTCTGAGAGTTCTGGTCAACTCTAGTCCTCTTACTGGATGAAAAGCCATTAATCCATACTCATTTAATCTTCTCCGAGCGGTACGTTCAGAAATTTGCACACCTCGAACTTCTTCGAGCTGATGAATCACTTGAACAATGGTAAGGTGGCGGTTTCGTAAAATTCTCAAAGTCAAAAACCGGTCATCCCGTGGTTCTGTTACCCTAGGCCGTCCAGAACCGGGCCTTCTATTGTAAGAACCAGCTTCCCGAAAAAGTTTCATATGGAACTCCGATGGCATTAGCTGCATATCTAATGGAACGTCCATCATCAATAAGTGCCAAACCACGCGCAACATCCTCAGCACTAAGAGGCATTTTTAAACTTAATATTGAAAAAATTAAAAGCCGGAGACTAAGAAATGTGCTGCAAGAAACGGCACTGAACTAATGATACTGAATAAACATTTTGATTCCATAGAAAGTAAACATTGGAATCTAGAATCATTTCATTGAATTAAGGATTAAGGGTTATTGTCCTCTATATTAACATTCCTGATTGAAAACAAACAAAAAGATTACCTATTTATTCATTAAAAACAATAGACCAATCCAAAGCAGAAATATTTTTAGATGAAAACATGAAAAAACCAAGTTGGTGGAATTTTTTGCCTGTCAGTGTATAATTACATAATATTTATACACATATAATGTTTTAATAGTAAGTATGTTAAGAAAACATTAACAGCTAGTAATTACATAACAGTTATATATAAAAATACTTAATACTAAATCTGTTAAACTAGAAAAACTTTAAAAATAATTGCTACAAACAATTAATTACATAATATTTAAATATAAAATGTTTTTATAGTAGACCTGTTCAATTAAAATAACTTCGATTATTGATACCAACAGGTAATAATTTTATTTTTTTATAGATATCTATAAAAAATAACAAACATGATAAAATAAAATAAATCTTTAACAAAAATTCAAAATTCGCTGTTGCCTCTCCCAAGCCAGGATGAAAAAGGAGTAACAACCTCATTAAAGAACTTGGGTTCAGCTAGCCCGGCTGATTTCACCCAGTAAAGGCCAGATTGAAGGAGACAGATTGAAAAGAATCATGAATGGCTCAGTAAAATTTGTCAATGGAACCCCGAGACATTCTTGTGTATCTCATTACTATGCCGAGTTAGGGTGGCTCTTCTCCTCCTTCAGAAGACAATATTTCCTAGGTACATTCCTTTACCAAATAATCTATAATCATCGTCCGTCCTACGCATTCAATCTCCTTCAATTCAAGTCATCTATCCACTCCCTCTCCACAAGATCTCGCCCTTCTGACCTTTATACTCCTTTCCACAAATCTGCCTCATTTCAACACTTCTTTATTGTCTGCTCCACTACCTTTTGGAATTCCATCCCACTTAAAATCCGCCATGCACCATCCCTATCCATATTTAAAACCCTCCTATTTCAATTCCTCCTTACAATTCAATCAGACGCTGGGTAGCCATTTATCATGTAACAAAATTGCATTTTTCTCTATTTATAATTTGTATATAAATATATATTCTTTTTTGAGCATGGAAAAGATGTCTAGTCACGTTCTGTAATGTAAATACTTCTGTTATCACCTAGTTTTTAGTTGTTTTTTTTTATTGTAATATGTATTTTGGCCAGATGGTATGTTAATTTTTATGTACAAAATTGTTATTCTTAAGGGACTTTGTCCCAGAATAAAGTTGATTCTTCTATTCTATTCTAAATAAATGAACGCGCTGAATTCCACCAATTAATTTAGAAACTTTTCTAAATATTTATATGTTTATGGGAAACAATATTTTCTAAATTTCTTGAAAATAATGTTGTATCTTAGATTTCAGCAAAACTCTCTAATTATTAAATCCTAAATATTATTAAAGCCAATGTAACATTGTGAAGGTCCCTTTCGCTAACAATAAAAATATAATGGAATTTTTCATTTTTCATAGAATTGGTAACGAATAATTTACTTTTTTTATTAAAAATGTATAGACCAGAAAATCATCCCATATTGCGTTGTTCGAAATTTAATAATAGGGAGGAGCCTTTTTAATTTACTTCAGAATGTAAACAGAAAGAGCTGTCCATGGTGTGTATTCTTATAGACTGTGCTGCATTAATTTAGGTAATCGAATAATTTCAAATGAATCGCCGTATAAAACATCCAACCTTTCTGTGGGCCAAAGTAGGAAATTGATAACATCCTCAGACTCAAAACAGAGGTGTTCCGTTTTCTTCAATATTACTTAATAATGCTTTATAGACAAATATCTATATACTATGAGGGTTTCACTTTTTTTTCATTAACTTGATATAATTAGATATTTAAGCATAAGGCAAGCATAATAATTTAGGAATATATTCAATGGAATAATCTTCTGATTGAAGACCCTTATAAGAAGATATTTTTTTGTCCAAAATTACTAAATATGTATTTTTTTTAATGAAAAATTGTAAAAAAGATCCTATAGGATTTTGTATTTTAAATCTACTACTCAAGATCAGAATAGATTTATTGGAATAGATGGTAATTGTTAAATATTTAGTCGGGTCCGACTGCTATCTGCCAATGTTTATAACCTTAACACTGATAATTCTGATAAGGCACTGATAATATCTTCGTATTCACATTTATTGTATTATATTCATATTATTATATCTTCATATTCATATTTATTGTATTGTATTCATATTATTAAAATTGTAAACAAAAACAAAAACAAATGTAATAATAAAAAAATACTTTTATTTTATAAGATACTTTTATTTTACAAAATGTATTAAATAGACCAAAACATTAAACATATATAATGTAAAAACATCACAACATATATATAAAAATAGATGAAATAATAAAATAGACAAAAATAAATGAAATAATAAAAAACCACTTAAACAACATGTATGTATATACAAAAGAAACACTATAAATACTATAAAGAACATATGTGCATATAAAAGAAACAATATAAACAAAATATGTACATAAAAAATAATTTTATTTTAACTTAATTTATTTTGGTAGGGAAAACAGTTTTATGCTATTTAAAATAGCGAGGAAATAGTTAATTATGATAAATAGTAAATTATAGGAAATAGTTAAATTATGGGACCATCCATAAATGAATTTTAAAGCCGTTAAATAAGAAATCCTCGACCCCTCTAACCACGTTCCTTTCCTTATACTAACGTTTTTGTTACAAGTACAAAAGCATCTCCATTTCGTCTTCCCGCGCAACTTCATTTCATGACCTTCATCACAATCACCTTTGCATTTATCCCAGTGTCTTGAAAATATTTGATAGCCTCTTCTTCTGAAGATGGCAATTTGAACAATGTAACATCAATAATTTTACGAAAATAACACTAACTCACAGCTTACACGAAGAACAAAAAATAAACAATTGAATAACTTAGGTTAGACGAGATAAGAAGGGAAGTTATGTGATATAAGATTAGATAACAAGGGAGGTTTCGACCCGACTGGCAATTTGACAAGTACCGGATATATTTTCCCTTAAACAGAAAAAAAGGATAAATCCTTCAAATCCGGGCCCTGTTCATAACTCATTTATAAGACTGCTTGTTCTAGTCAAATATAAAATATTCAACAAAGAAGAAATAGGCACTCTACAACTAAAGTATTACTGTCATAAAAAGTTTCCATTGATTGTACTTCATAATACTTAACAGTTACATAATTGAATCTAAAAACAAAGATTAATTACCCTCCTTATATGTAATCCTTTTCAACGAAAAGTTTTCTTCTAAAGTAACGCCTTTTAGAACAGTAATTTCACGGCTTTCTGTGGCATAACTAAAAAAAATAACAAAACAATACATTTGTCATTACATATTAAAATAACAATTAGTATAATAATAAAATTACAATAAAAAAATATTCTTGAAATGATATAAACTAAAAAAGTGAAAATACTCAAAAATTAAATTACACATGCTATTTTATGTGAAAGCTATTATAACAGATTGTTGCTGCAGTGAATAGTGAAAACAGATCAGATAAGATCTAAAAGATAAAATTTAATCCGCGCCAGCTACCAGATGCACTCACCCCATTCCAACAAAGAGACTGCCAGAGGCATCATCAGGAGCAGACTGGAGAACCCTCTCAGTTAAGTAAGATGTCTATACCAGCATAAAAGGGTGAGTTTATTTTACACAATTCATATAACCTACCACTTATCAAAATACAGTCCACTGCCAAAAGTCGAATGTTGCCTATTTTGGACTCATTAGAATTATTTGCCTTTACTTTAATTAAATTTGGAAAGTTGCCTAAACACATACCATAATATAATTATATCATTATGATTAAACAGTAGTAATAGTGTTACACATTTCACAGTTCCACATTTTTGTTATGGTGAAATTACGTTATTTATTGCTTTAATTATATAGTTCTATTTGTTGTTTATACATTTTTAGGTGTTATTAGGTAACTCTATATACGTCTTTAACTAACAAAGGTAGGCTATGAATATAGGTTGATTCCACACATCACTATTTTCAATGAAACCTTCTTTGGTGGTAATGCTAGGTTGTAAAATATTAGACAGCTGCCTGAGGCTTCATTTTTAAAGTTTATCTATTTTTTCTCTTCAAAATTTGAGGTATAAACAGTAGTTGATATATCAACAGTCAAACTTCAAAAGACTAGGAACAATTTTATTAGAAAATGCGATTTTGAGCTTTTCAATCTTGACTTAGTGGATATTCAGAAATATAAACAAAAAATGTTATCAAAACATAAATCTTCGTTTTAAACATGTAATATTTCTTCCTTAACTTTTATATATCTATATATTGTTTGTAATCTATTGATGAGTTTATATTTTTATTCTATGTAACTATTTATAACCTTATGATGATCATCTATTTATAAAAAATCTACATAGTTTTATATATTTATATTTATAGTTTAACATGTAACTACAGTAAGCTTTTACATTATTTTTTCATGTAACATATTTCAATAATATTAATCTATCCTTTTTTAAAAATAATTTAAAATAAATAAATTTGTTTAGTCGAGTCGATATATTTTTAATGAAAATAGAAATAACAATAGACTGAGATGTATCAGCCTGGTAGGAGCAAAAGATCTCAAATCAAAAAGGAAGCAAAAAATCAAGAACATCCCACAAATGAAGAAGGCATGGACCACATTGAGGACCTTGATCCAGAATAGGTTGAAAAACCAGATAAACTGGATATAGAAACGCTTAAAACAAGAAAGGTTCCAGAGATGAACAAGCTAATATCGGGATACTGGTTGATAATTAAAAGTTATAAGTTCCCAAACTAAAAAAACACAAATCATTATTTCACTGTTTGAAAAAGCAAAATAAATGTTTCTTCTTCACAAATAAAAATAAACAAAACCAAATAAAATTCTGTCTGCTTGATTAATAAAAATAAATAATATTTACATAAGTTTAACTTTTATGGTAATACCTCGTTGGCTGATATTCTTGTGTCCAGCCTCATTGGGCAAAGACAAGGCCAAGTAGGATATTTATAGAAACAGTAAAAAATAACTTTGGCCTCATATACGCATTTTGCGTGATTCACAGGATGCAGTCAAAATGGCGGGCAAAGCCTTCACAATTAAATGTTTAGAATAAAACGACTAGGTGATAAAAATCACTGCACCAATTTAAGTCACTCTATTTTCTCTATCTCTACTATCTATCTTAATGTTTAATCAATAAGCAAGGAAATTTGATCAGAGATCGATTTGAGTATAAAATGTAAAACCGCTATACTACCATCAGTAGATTTCTATTAAAAAATAAATTTAATTCCATGCATTTATCATATTAAAAATATATACAATTTAAATTAAATTATTTTTATTTCCCAATAGTTCATTTCTGCTTTGTTAAAAAATAAAAAAACAATCAAAGGCAAGGAAATTTTTCCCATTTTGTAAATTCATTTATGGAAATGAGAAATACCTGGGAGCTGATACTTTCATTACATATGATCCAGGAAGTAAAAGCCTCCAATATTCACCTCTTGCTGTAGTTAAAACATCATGTTTAATGTTATTAATAATTATCTTTGCTCCTTCAACTGGTTTATTGTTTTCTCCCATAACTACTCCTAAAAATAAAAAAATGTATTACTACCAATTTACTTATTAACTAACAACTTATTAATATTAATAAAAATATATAATATTTAAGTAATCAAAAGAAAAATGTAAGAAAAAAAAGCGAATGAAGTGGAAAATATATGGGAAAAGTTTAAGTGGAACCTGAAAAAAAAAATTATTAATACCTTAAGGTCAGAACCTTGAGGTTGGTACCTCGCTGACCAACAATGAGAGGGGCTCTACAGACTTGTTGGAGGGTGTGACGTAGAATTGAATGCCCTTCTCACATATCTTTAGTATACCATACACCACCAATAGTCATTGATCTTCTTAAGATAAAACGCTCATTATCCTGAGGTAAACTAGTCCCCCATTCGGGTCTCCGGGTGGGGACTGCTGCTTTAGAGGATTCATGGCGCAAGTTGAAAAATAGGGATTTAAGTATTGGTACCTGGAATGTAAGGAGTTTGAATTTAGCAGATGGGTTAAAATCGGTTTCGAATAAGGTTAATGAGTACAATTTAAATATCATGGCTCTGCAAGAGGTATAGTAGGCTGGCCAGGAGAGGGCTCGATAAGAGAAGGAAAGTATTTGGTAGAGAGGAAGCGGGAACCATAGTTATATTTCAGAGACGTTGGTTTAAAATCGCATTAATAAACATACATTGTCCGACCGAGGACAGTGACGAAGAAGTCAACTGCGAATTTTATGATAAACTTGAATGGGTTTATGATAAATTACTGCGAAACTCTAATAAAATAATTGTAGGTGACGCAAACAAAAAGGTTGGGAGGGAAGAAGTTTATTTTACGATGATTGGTAAAGACAGTTTGCACATGTATATTAATGATAATTAATCATAATGGGATCTGTCTGATAAACTTTGCCATCTCGAAAAATCTGATAATCAAAAGTACTATTTTTAAACATAAGGATATTCATAAATATGCCTGGACATCACCGGATTCACGAACACCAAATCAAATCGATCATGTCTTGATTGAATATAGCTGGCAAAGCAGTATAATTAATGTACAGTCTTATCATGGAGCAGAATGTGGGTCGGATCATGAATTAATAATTGCGAAACTTCAACAAAAAATTCAATTCAGAAAATTGAAATTGACAACATTTTCATAAACATAAACTCTAATAAAAACAAACCCATAAACTAAAACAAAATCTGTTAAACTAAAAAAACTTTTGATATTGTTTCTCTATCTTCACAAAAGGCCAAGATATGAGTGTATGAAACTTCTAATTGGCTGTCATTTTGTTTCAATGGTAATGTAAAATTCCAAGGATCATTCAGGCGAGATTTGTGCCTTAGTGCTAAATCTAATAAAACAAAACTTCCAAGCCCAGATACTAAAACTGAGAACTCATGACAAATTTTATTTTTCAACCTTTGCAAAATGTATGGTAAATTCCCTACATTTTCCACGACTATGAAAAATCTCTGACATATTCCCTAATAGCTGACCGATAGATAATCTAATGCCTAGTCCACACTAGTAGACATGTTGCACGATTTTTGTCCCTGAGAAATGTCACAGTTTGTTTACGAAAACATGTCTATAGACCGATCCCCATCTACAGTCCTGTTGCGAGAACTAAAATCACAGGCCTATAGTCTCCCGATCAGAATGGGAGACATGATTCAACGTTATACATGTTGTGCAAGATTTTGACTGTGTAGACATCACTCGGTGTCAAGAGGCGAGACATGTCTCAGTCTACCTCCAGCTAACAAATGGTTGGTTTGGCTGTTTACAGTTGTTTTCCATAGTTTTAAAGTTCTTTTGAAAACCCTTTTTCTTAGACTTTTAGTCTAACGAGAAAGTTTTAATACTAATTGAAGATTACTGTGATGTCACATGGTCTTAATTTATTTAATAATGCATTATCAAACCTAGGTTCTTCGTCTAAGAGCACTTTGCACGTCCACCACCGTTTACGTTTTAGCGACTTGTAATTAGCACTAAGCAGGAACTCATTGCACATAAAACTATACCCTCCATGGTGGGCTGCAAAGATGAGACTGATAAATCCACATCGTGATGTGGATGCTAGACGAGACAATGAGTGGTGTCTCTAGACAGTCCATAGACAAATCATGCAAAAATGTCTACAAGTGTGTATTAGGCTTAATAGTTTACTTGCTTAATTATTTAAGTAAAAGTTATAAAATTTGTAAACAATTAAACTAAAATGGCAGCACACTCCCTTATGTTGTGCTAAATGCTTCACGCTTTAATGAGCAATGTGATTGAATTCTGGATGTAGATGATGGATTCTGAACTGTGAAGTCAAACTGTAATAATCAGGTTTTCTGGATCGCTGTTTACTACAGCAAATTTAAAGATGTATTCACATAAAAATGCTAATATAGGATAATGCCTTCTAAACAGGAATATTTAAAAAAATACCTTTAACACCCCAATGCGCAGCTTCAATAAAAGAAATTAAACTTTCTTTATTATTGTCCCATTCAGTTGTTAATTGTGATCCTTCTGGGTATTTGCAACAACTTAGTTCTAATGTGATTTCAAAACAGTTTGAATGTAAATAATTGAAGTCCTGCATTCCACCTATAAATAAAAAAATAAAAAGTGAGGGTTTAAAATGTTAATAACAAATTATTTATATTTTAATTATTAATAATTTCATTTATAATATTTTAATGCAAATATTGTCATCATATCTTCTTTACAATATAATTTCTTTATTCTCTTTCAAAGAATCAACTGATAAAAATTTATGTTTTTTTTAAATCTCTTTTATTTTATTTTTATGTTTGTACGAAACCTATTTTTTGTTTATCATTAATTTCTAAGACGGCACTACTTTGTCCAGTTGTCCTGTATAGTAATGAGGTATGGACGCAAACCAAGATGCAAGAGAGATTGCTGAGTACATGGAAGAGAAAGATTCAGAGAAGAATACATGATCCTACCAAAGAAAGAAGTCATTACTGCATAAAAACCAATTCAGAACTTATAGTTTCAAGCATTAAAAAGGGAAGAAGAAGAAGGCTGGGCCATGTATATCGGATGGATCACAAAGCAGATAATGGAAGGAAGTCCAGATGAAGGAACAGAACGAGGCAGGCCAAGACCACAATGCAGAGATAATGTAGAGGCAGACCTGAAGCATCAGTATTACAATCATAATGCTATAATAGGGTACAAAATTAAATGAAATGTTTTTTTTTTTTAATATATATTAGGGAGCACAATAGGCCTTCATAGCCACAGTACATTTTGCCAAAATTAATATTTTTGTTAATACTTGCTAATATAATTTTTTTTTAGCCCATGCATCTTCTTTTTCATCTAATAGGTTTTCTTGTTTTATGTGGAGTCTGGCTCTGACCGTGTACGGTGTTAGTTCGGGTCTGTATTCATTGTCGAGCTGATTAAGTAAAACTTACTCTACAAACATGATTTTTTATATACTTCGGAAATTCGTATCGAAGAGTGTTTCTACAAGTTTTGGATGTGTTCTGACAAGTGTAGGAACAACTGTGAAAGGATAAATTATATTTCTCTGAAAATTTGCACAGCCGGTATCTCTGACTTTATGGTAACACAATAAATTCGCTGTCCTATCTTACCGCCTTGTCACAAGGTCAGTTGAAGCAATCAGCTATTTCTTGTCATCGTTATTTACATTAACTCGCACGCTTAGTCAGATGAACTTTTTATTTATTTTCATATATTTTTTTTTTTTAAGCTGAAATGATTCATGGTAAAAACTTCTGGCTGTATTTATTTCACCATTTTTATTTTATTTTTTTCACTAGCAATATTTCGGCTTTATCACCATTTTCAAGCCATCTGTAAGACTTAATAAGCAATTAGTTTCATACAAAAACTACATTTAACATAATGTGACAGTGACTACAGGTATAGACTTTCCATTTTGATTGGGGAAGAAAGGGCCATGGATCCAAAAAAAAAGGCGGTAGTTCATATTATGTATAGTAATTCAACATAATTATTGTGGAAAGAACAAATATAATATTGAAGAGAAGGATGGTTGGGATGATCTCAGTCAAAATAAAAAATATTAAAAATAGATAATTATATTTATTTTTATATTTTCCGACGTTTTGGTCTGAAGTTCAGACCTTCATCAGGGCTAAGAAAAGAACCAGATAATAATAGGTATGAGAAACTATAAACAATGAATAATAAAGAATTAAAATTAAAAAGGTGAAAGGTATGGACTAAAAAATGTAGGTAGAAAAAACTTAAAGTAAAATGATTGTGGGTTTATGGTTGACTGGAGTGAATACCAAACAGTTTCCATTCCTAATCAACCGCTTTCTTCCTATCTTTCTATGTCCTCAGGATTTGATAAGGGTTATCATCATTATATTATCATATCTCCTCTTCTTTTGCCTATATAAACGATTTTCATAAATCAATCCTTAATTGTTCCTATCACCTTTATGCTTTTATATATTTATCATTATCTTCTTTTGAGTTATTTGCCAAGATTCAAGAAGACCTGGATCGAATCAGTGCCTGAGCAAACTTAAGTGGATTAAGTTAAATAGTGATAAAACTCAAGCTATTGTCAGTAGTTCCAAGACCCTTCTCCGATTCAATAACTTTCCAACTTTTTCCTATTTTTTTTATTCCCTCTAGGTCATTTCTGGCATATGGGGTTCTCAGCAGCAGTGGGGTAGTGCGCATGGGTTTTGCGCATGCCACTGCTACCGATTACACTCTTTTTATTTGTAATTATTCTTTATTTTATATATGCTTTAGGGTATGTTTTTTATTTCTAGGAACAATAACAATAGGGTTTTCCTGTAGCACAGTCCAGTGCACCTTTCATTGTGGGACTGTGTCTTAATATTCTCTTTAAGTTCAGCGGCTCTGAGAAACCACCAACGCCTTCTCTCTGTATGGGTAGAGCCAGAGCCTGCCACTAAGTGTAGCGGGTCTTTTCAACTATGTCTATTAACTTTGACAAGTGCACGGGGCACTCTCTGCTCCTAGCACAATGCCTTATTTCATCTAGTCCCTTCCCAGGCATCATAAAATTCTTGCACTTTGGTGAGGAGCCGCTTTTCTTAGCCTGGCACTGATTTGACTTATGCCCGCACTTATCACACCATCTGCATGTAAGGTCTTTCTTACATTTAGGTTTGGTATGACCATATTCCTGACATTTCAGTCACCCAATGCCCAATGTCCAGAAGATGCAGGAGAACTTTTCGATCTGCAAGACTGCTGTTCTCACGGACAGATGAACCTCCACTACCCAGGTTTTCTTTAGGTTCCCTCTCTCAATATCAGAAAAACACGGCCTGATCCATTCCTTCCTATTACATTCTTGTCGAGGTCTACTTATTCCACTGCTCTCAAGTTTTACCCACAAAAAGTCCTGCAAGTCAGAGGATTTCCAGTGCTCAGGTACTCCATTGATTTTTAACTTCGGTATCTGTATTCTTGCCAGGTTAACTTTTAGTCGCTTGTTCTTCAAGGCTTGCATCTCCGTCAGCATCTTAGCTTGATCCGCTCCCTTGGTCTTCACCAGAACAGCGTTGTTCCTGTTGGTGAGCCCAATCACTTGAGTGGTAATCTGTGTACTCAGAAGTTCCTCTTCGCTTGGAAGAACCTCTCATATGTCCCTCGGGTACCAGTTTTCTCCTTCCCCCTGATTGTGAAATACGTGGGAGCTTCCTCTAGTGCTGTTGGAGAGGGAGGATTTGCCATTCTCCATATTATGTCTGAGTATGTAAGCTTCTGATGCTCTACTCTCTCAATCCTCTTCCTCTCCTCCTGTAGTTCTGAGGTGGCACTTAACTTCTTCTTTTTCCTTCTTTTATTCTTTATCTTTGTCTCACAATGGTGCATTTTATCATCTTCCCACTCATCAAGGGATGAGTATGGGTCCTAATATTTCACCTTGGGAAGTTTTGTTTAAAGTTTCCAACAACTTTCCCAAACTATACCTTAATGATCATCCCATCACTTTCTACACATCTGTTAAAAATTTAGGCTTTTTCACAGATCAAATACTTTCCTGGAATTACCATGTCTCCTACATCTCCCAACAATCAATTTCCACTCTCAAATTATTCCATCACTTCCACTATCTCTTATAAGAACTCACACATACTCTTAGTTTCTTCCCTTATATTCCCCTTGCATGCCATGCACAAATAACATAACAAGACGTTCCCATATTTCCCACTACTATGCTGAGTTGGGGAGGCTCTTCTCCTCCTAACGACAATATTTCTTAGGCATATTTCTTTATCAGATTATCAAGAGCCATCGCCCTTTCTATGCTAACGATCTTATCCAATTTATGTCCCCTATGCACTCCCTTACCACAAGATCTGGACCTCCTGACCTTGCACCCCTTTTCACAGATCTGTGAAAATCTGCCTCTTTCCAAAACTTCTTTGCTGCCCGCTCTGATACTTTCCGGAATTGTATTCCTTTAAAAATCTGGCATGCTCCAATATTTAAAGCTCTCCAATTCCCATTTCTATTCACAAAACCATCCGATACCGACTAACCCTGGACTAGGTAACAGTGCTTTATCTTAGTATTACTTTGACTCTGTGTTTATATTTCATTCACTTTTCATGCTATGACAGTTCATCACATAATTTTTTTTGTTATATGCGTTTTAATTTTTTTAAGCTAGACACTATAAACAAGATAATCTATAAAAGACAAGAATGGCTCAATACTGAAAGGACAAAAGGAAATAATTGAAAGATGGGGAAGCTATTTCATTTAATTATTTAACCTTGACACTGAAGAAATATAAATAGTTAATGAAGAGGGTAGAGTGGAAGCTCATACAGATCTAGAACTCCCAGATCCAGAAGATATAGAGAAGTTATCTTAAACTTAAAAAATAATAAAGCTCCAGGAATCGATGGTAGGCGGGGTGGTAGTCTCAATGCATGAGAGCTCTAAGACAGCAGCTAGAGAAAATTTTTTCAAAGAATGGGCCAGTTATAGCTGGCTAGGCCATGGAGTTTGGCATTTTAAAGAGACCCCGAAAGCCAATAAATAAATATGGCAGAAACAAGTACTTTCGGGATCAGAATGGTCCAACACCTTATAACTCAAAACATCTATTACAAATCTGTTTCCATCAAACTGTTTGCTTTGAGAGCAATGACCTCGATCAGATAGGTGAAGTGGAAAGGGAAAAGAAGATATAATATATAATATATATGTATATATATATATATATATATATATATATATATATATATATATATTATATATATATATATATATATATATATATATATATACATATATATACATATATGGTGAATTCTTTCTCTCGGAAGGTCACGCAGAATTCCTCTTTTAGGAAAGGGATATATATATATATATGTATATATATATATATATATATATATATATACATATATATATCCCTTTCCTAAAAGAGGAATTCCGCGTAACCTTCCGAGAGAAAGAATTCACCATTAGAGACCTCTGGTTTGGGTCTCACAGAACGAGGAACTAGGTTTTGATGCTAGTGAACGCTTGCGGTATTGGCTAAGAAGAATTATTCTGAACTCCCTAAAGGATCATCCATTATCACTTATATAGTAATTGACCATTATTTGAGGATATTTATTTATTCAGTTTTAATATTAAGTCTAGTCATACCTTTTTTTTATATTCATAAAATTATGTTGGTTGATATGTGTGCATTTTAATCTTGCATTTTTAGATTTTTATTGAAATATATATATATATATATATATATATATATATATATATATATATATATATATATATAATGTAACAATGATAGTTTAATATAGTATATTAATGATATTTTATATGATATGTTACGAAAATATAGGAATATATATATATAATAAAATAATGTAATGTAAGTGCTATATCCAAATGGGATTAATCAGTATGATGTGTATAAAGCAAATCATATATAGTAGGACAGCACTATTTTGAATAAAGTATTTCTCTCTCATATTTTTCTAAATTTATACATACATTTAATAAAATCCTAAAAAAATTAAACCCTTAACATATTTAATTTTAATACCAGAGGCCATAGTTACCTGTAACTGTGTACCAATTGTTACCATTAGTCACTCCATCTATAAACTTATCACCTTCACAGTTATGCTTGCTATTCATTAAAGGATGTTTCCCAGCATACAACTTAGAAAGTTGATAAAATAACTGATCATCTGGGGATGCACTATACCCCTTGCCAGTTCTGAAATTTGAATTATCAAAATAAGAGAACATAATTATACAGCATTTCCAAGTTTAAAATAAACCTATTAAAATTTAAATTAATCCTTTTTAAGTCATACAAATATTATCAGTTTGATTTTAAATGAAACCTTTTCCAATTCTAATGTAATCCAGTCTAAGTTACACAAATAGAAACATTGCATTTTAACTTTTCTTCACTAATAATTTAAATTTCAATAATATTTTTTGAAATCACTTCTGCATATTTTTTCAATTATAAAACCTTCATTAGCATAAATAATTATGCTAATGTTAACTTGTTATAATGTGATGAAGAATAAAATAAATAATTAGTTCATACAATAATTTTTAGTTTTACCTTGAAGAGGGTTAGCTAAACATAAATTAGTTTTAAGTATTAGTTTGAAATATTAATTTTAAGTTATTGTAACAGCGAACATATGATGGAGAAAAACAAAAGACAATTTTGAGAGATATGGAGGAATCTTGTGAGTGTAGAGGCACGCTAAGGAATTGTGTGTAAAATACTTTGGTTTTATAGTGTACGCCAGATTTTCCTTTTTCCCCACCTGGAACCTGTGATTGTAAGCGACGTGTGCCGCTTGATTTTACAAGTTGGGGAATAAACATTTTCACAGCTTGAGGAGGTGGACTGGGAAGACCCTGATGACGCTAACTCGAATAAGTTCCCGCTTCCTCAGATAATTCAATGTTCCTATTGGACAAAGTTCACCATTGAGATTTTATAAATATGTAGATACACATTTTTTTTCCTATCTATTTTCTTTTTTTTTTTTTTTTTTTTTTTTTTTTTTGTAATTGGTGTATTGTATAATTGTAGGTTAATGTTTAGTTCTATAATTTTTTCATATTCTTTTCTTTCATAATTAAAGTTTATTGTGTTTTTTTTGTTTTCTTATAAAGCTAATATCTTGTTAATAATTTTCATTTCCTTTAACTGTTATTTAAGTCAATAGAAATAAGTAAATTCATCATCAGTATAAATGATAGACAGTTTTATTTTCTTCTATGTTTTTTTTTCAGGTTTTATATATATAATATTGTTTTGTTTTTTTAAGGTTTAATAAGGAATTGTAAAACCCTATTCGAGGGATTAGGGAAAATTGATATTAACCAAGTAAGAAGGTTCGATAGGTTATAAGGTTAATTAACATATATTTTTAAACTCATAGATTCCGAGTATGTAGCTCGCTCCGAGTCCAAATTTTTTTTTTTTTAAATTAAATATATTTATTTTATTTTTTCTTATGGTTTTCGCTATTTTTCAAATTCAACAAATTAAATAGTGTGGCACCTGTTAGATAAATAGTAATATTTAATTGACTTCCTCATTTTTCTTCTTTTTTTTTTGCGAACCCTATCATCTCAACTGAGTGCCCGGCAAGTTTGTTATGTAGATATAGAAATTTATTAAAATTATATAGATAAAACTAGGTAAATAAGATAAGAAAAAAGCATAAGAGTACAATAGAAATAAACTATTTCAGACACAAACTAACACTAACCTATTAAACTAAACTCCTTTTAGACTAAATCACCTATGTATGACCCTACACCCTCCCACAGCTGAATTCAATCAACATCTCAAAGACCTTCTTGATACCAAACCCCTACCTACAGAAATCTCATCACTTATAATACTACACCCTGATGTTATGGCTTACAAAAAATTCACAAATCTGGCAATTCTCTCTGTCCTATCATTTCAAATATCAACTCTCCCGACTCCAAACTTAGTAATTTCCTAATCCCTTAGTCAAAATAATCCCTATGACATCAATTAACTGCAACTGTAAAAATCTTATAATAGAAACTCATTTCTATTAGCTCAAAAAAGAGTTTAAAAGGATAAGTTATAGTTGTAGTTATTTCCTTCTTCCTAGAAGTGAATAGGCATACAATTTTACCATTTTATACATGGTATAAAGGTTTAAAATATAGTTTTACGCATTTTGAACATAGTTTTATTTGTTTTGTATACAGCTATTTAAACAATGTTTCCTTTTTTTTTATTTAATTTGATGTATCAAGCCTTTTGGCCAAAACAAATGTTTTCTTTTGTTATTCTCAAGGGATTTCATACAAAAATAAAGTTTATTCTGAGACATTAAATAAATAGGATGGAAGTCATGCAGTTAGGAAGGGTTTGAAGTTTTATTTTAAGATCAGACTAGGGCAGTTTTCCAAGAAGATGGGAACATGGAGTTTTGCAAAGAAAAGTTGTAGATATAGTAAAGTAAAGGAATAAGGACAGGAAGACAGAATTTTAATGGTTTATTGGAATATTGTCAAAACCATAATTGGTGAGGAGTTTAGGAAAGTGATAAGTAGTTCACTGATGTGTTCTATGAATGGTTAAAAAAAAACACCTGTACCACTACAAACCATGAAGGGTCTCGGGTTCAGTACTATTCAGGGAAAGTACTGTTTCAAGGCCAATGGTTGTGCAGGGAAGGGATCGGGCCAGGATCACACTCACCATCAGGTTTTCCCCCTCAATTAATTATTTAATAAGGGTCCCCACTTTGTAGAGGCTGAGTGTGCCCCAGGAGGGTCTTTCTACCCCAGGGTCGCCCCATGGCCAATGAAACAGAATAAATAATTTTTCTGCCATGAGCTGGGTTTGAGCCTGAGACCTTGAGCATTGGAAGCTTAGTGCCCTACCACTGAGCTACCCCGCTCCCTATGAATGGATATAATCTGTTTATTATTTTGAGTGGGAAGATATTCATTCCATGGGTCTGTCGCAAATAAATTTCGGGACTTCTCTCTTAGCGGGTAGAGTCGAAACCTTCCTTCTTATCTAATCTCGTTTCAGATAACCATCTTGTTTCAGATAACCTCCCTTATCGACCCAATCTCGTTTCTCAAGTTATTGTGTTCTTTAGTTTTTCTTGTTCTTTAGTTTAGTTGTTCTTTAGTATTCTTTAAGTTATTGTGTTGTTTAGTATTATATTGTGTTCTTTTGTTAATATTGTGTTGTTTTGTTTCAACTGGAATTATGGATGTTGTCACATTGTGGGAATTGCCGTCTTCGGAAGAAGAGGCTATCAAATATTTTCAAGATGCCGGTATATTTGATAAGGTGAAATATTGTGATTATTTTGATGGTCGTAAAATGAAGTTCGACGGGAAGATTAAATGGAGATGCTCTCGTAGGTGTAACAAAACCGTTTCTATAAGGAAAGGAACGTGGTTAGAGGGGTCCAGGATTTCTTTTTTGACGGCTTTAAAATTCATTTATGGGTGGTCCCATAATTTAACTACAATTCAGTGGGGATACAACACAAAACAACTGAATGAAGCAAATTACGACCATTTTCAGGTCAATCACACATATAATTTTGTTGATCCATCAAGTGGAGTCCATACTCAACACATCGAAAGATTATGGGGCTCAGCCAAGTGGAGAAATAAAAAACACAGAGGAACTGCCAGACAACACCTGGATTCATATTTATGTGAGTTTTTGCGGCGGCGGGCGCATAAACATCAGGATCTCTTCCTCGCTATTTTAAATACGATAAAATTATTTCCCCCACCAAAATAAAATTTTTCATATTTTGTTTCCATCGTTTATTCATAATCTTTGTTTTATATGTACATATCCTGTTAAAGTAGTTTTTTATTATTTAATCCTTTTTTGTCTATTTTTGGCCTATTTTTATTATTTCATTTATTTTTGTATATATGTTGCAATGTTTTCGTAATGTTTTTTAATTATATATTTATGTTTTGGTATATATTTATGTTTTTACGATATATATGTTTTGGTATATATTTATGTTTTTCAATATATTTATGTTTTGGTATATTTTAATATATACCTTGTGAAATAAAAGTATTTTTAAATATACGTTGTGAAATAAAAGCATTTATTATTACATTTCTTTCTGTTTTTGTTCACAATTTCAATAATATCAATACAATACAATCAATATGAATACGAACACATAATAAAATGAATATAATACAATATATACGAATACGAAGAGCTTATCAGTGTTAAGGTTATAAACATTGGCGGATAGCAGTCGGACTCTACCCGCTAAGAGAGAAGTACCTAAATTTCAACCCACCCAGGCTGCAATACCTGAAAATGACCAAGTGGGCAACACTATAACACCCTTGGCCACCATGGCCTATGAATTGCATGAACTATACCCAGTAAATATAATTGAAGTGATTACATAGCAGCAAATAAAATGAGCATGTAAAATTGTTGACCTTAGTAACCAAAAATTCCATAAAACATCAATATGCGCTGTGCCGACTGGTAAGCACCCGAGGAGTAGCACAAAGTGATGGTGCAAGGATTGCGTTAAGGCTGATATGGCAGGATATGGTTTGGATGGTGGTTGGTTGATGGAAGTACATAGATAGTGATAGGTAATATCAGCATAGAACTTTCCTGTTCGCTATGCCTTTACTGTTAATAGATTATTTTAATATTTAAAAAATATATATTACTCTTTAAAAAAACATAAAATGAATAGACAAGATGATATAAAAAAATAATAAATTAATTAGTCTTAATCAATAAACTTAAATGTTCAGTAAGTTAATCCAAGCCACAAAAGTAAATATTACACATTTTAAAATGCAAAAAAAATAATTGGGTTAAAAATAATTACCCTGAATCAAAAGGATAGCTAGCGACAAGTGATCCTCCATGTAAACTTCCTGATAACACAAATGGATTATGATAGATCCAATTCATGACTGCAACAGTTTCAGGTTGTCTTCCAAAGAAAATATTACGGTTATAAGAAAACTTATCTTGGAATTGATCAGGAAAATCTCTGTTTAGATCCTTATTGTTATAATTGTTGCGACCAACCTTATCATTGTTAGGATCACAAACTCCTTCCTAAAATACACAGTAATAGGAAATTGTTCTTATTGTGTTAAAAAATTTAGCAAACAAGCAACTTAAGACTGTATTTAAAGAAAAAAAAATCAGATATAATGTAAAAGTTATAAACCAGAAATTTAAAAGGCTACCAACAAACTTTAATAAATAATTTTGCAAGGTAATTAATTTTAACAAAATATACTTCATAAACAAAAACTTATGTAAGATCTGATTGACTCACAATTAAATGAACATACATATGTATATATCTAAAATGAAAAAGCCAGCAAATTTCTGTAGAAAATGAACCAGATACAAAAACTACCAAGAAAAGCAGAGTAAACTAGGTGTAACTTTAATTATATCTGAAACTTGAAGTAGCGATAGTAAACCTCAAATGCAACAGGGAAGTTACTTGGGCTATGGTACATCTCTGAACAGGAAAAACATTAATTTAAATTTAATTCTTTTCGTAAAGCACCTCTTTTATATCTTTTGGCTTTTCAGAGCTTATAGATCTTTTGCTGGATCAACCAGCCTTTTCTATCTTTGCCTATGTTAGGCAATTGCTTTCCGATTATTTTCACACAGCTCTACACCATGTTTGTTGATACGATCTATTCATCCGGTTTTTGACCTTACACATAGTTTCTTACCTACTATTGAGGCATTCAGATGGATTGCTTCAAGCTACATACCCTGGTCATCTTAACCTCCTTGCCTTCATATCATGAGATATTGATTGATCAGTTTCTGTAGACAGCTCTTTATTGATCTTTCTCGACCATGCATTGATCCCAGATCACTCCAGTTTTTGCGTCAAGGATTTTCTTCTCAAATCTTTTAATTGTTCTTCCTAGAGTGCTGATTAGTATCCAGGTACCACAGCCAAATGTAAGAACCAGCTTAATCATAGCATTGTTCACCCTTAATTTTAGATTTGTTGTTTCAGGATTTCAATACTTTTGAAAAAGAAAAGAAAGCTCTGCTTGAGCTTGTTATATGCTAGTAAGTATAACAATTTTATATATTATAGTCGTATTGTTAGTGCTAAAGGTCATTTGTAACAATTTTTCATGTTTATTATATTTGTGCTAAAAGTGACATATTGTAGTCTGAAACTGCAATAAGTAGTCTGCTACTTTGGAAAATAGTAGGGGGGAATAAATTATGAAACTGTATTAATAAATCATAATGAAATAATCAGGTTTTATGCTCTTCTGTAAAATAAATCAATTTTTACATATGATTTTTTGCACTAATAGTAGCGATAAGTGATATTTGTATATCACCAATAATATAAAATATTAATTAATTTATTGATCATAAATTCAGAAGTAAAATAATTATCACCTAATGTTTGTTTGTCTTTGTGCTATACTAATTACAACTTAGGCCCTATGTTATTTATGAATATATATATTTATATATATGTATGTATTTTTTATTTAATATAACATTCTGACACAATGTGGACAATGATCATAATAATTCTCTCATTATAAAATAAAATTCCTTTATTTTCTGAAAGATTGTCCTGGAGCCCATAAAAAAAACATTTATTTCTCATTCAAAACACCTTTTATGAACTCCTTCTAAGCATTCCTGATATAATTTCGAAGTCCACTGAAATCCTCCCTGGTGGCTTCTTGCAAGATTTTTATATCCTCTGATAGCACCGGCAATAATTCTTCTAGCGTAATGGCATGAACCACCTGAGAAAAGTTAACGTCTTCCTCCCTTAGTTAACGATCCCTACGTTAACGGGCGCATTACAAACTAAAGATTTTATATTGGAGAAAGCTTGCTTCTGTGAATCAGACCATTGTCACTGAGCACTCTTTTTCAATAATTCCCTAAGTGGGGTAATGACTTGTTAATAGGCCGCAATAAATTTTTCCAAAAAATTTATCGCACCTAAAAATCTTTGAATTTTCTTCGGAGACTGAGGTTCATTGATATTAGAAATGGCTCTTACTTTGAGAGGATCCGGTTTGATTCCATCTGCTCCAAATACTAGTCCCAAATATTTAATTTAAATTGGAGTTTCTTGCTATTAAATTTAATGTTGGACTGTCTAGCCTTTTTTATAACCTCTTCCAAAATTTTAGCGTGTTCAATTTCTGTTTGGCCCGAAACTATTATGTCATCGAACATTATTTGCACTCCCTCTATGCCTCAAAATATTTTGGTATTTTCCTTTTGAAATATCTCTGGAATACTAGACAAATCGTAGGGCACTCTTAGAAATCGATATCGACCAAATGGGATATTCATAGTGCATAAACGACTCGAATTCTCATCTAGAGGAAACTGATGGAATCCTTCCTTCATATTGAGCACAGTAAACCATTTTTTCCCACTAAGATTAGCAGTTAGTACTTCTTGGGTAGGGATGCTATAGTCTTCCTTTTTTTATGTATTTATATTCAATGGAATGGGATTCAAACAGAGCCGAATAGATCCATCTTTCTTTTCAATTACCACTATATCATGAACCCAATCTGTAGGCTCTTCTACTGGTGTTATTACTCTTAAGTCCACTAACCTTTTGATTTATTTTTTAAGTTTAGATTTGAGAGGCAGGAAGTCTCCTCACTGGTCTCACAGTAGGTACTGCGTTATTGCTAAGCGTAATCTTAACTTCATAGGGAATTTAACACTGACTCGGAAGATAAGCCTTCTTCAACCTCATGTACTGCAGTTCTCTTTTTTCGTGAGATCCACCTGATTTTAAATGCTGGGCAATCTCTTGGTCTGTGAGTGGTATGGCATTTTTTATATTTATATTCAGACTCTTTATCAGTCTTAGTAATCAGTTTAGTAAGTCTGGATGTAAAAGATTTGTTTTTATTAACCATATTGGTATAGTTAACATCACCGAGCGTGCCTTCTCCAGCCATTTCCTAGCTATAAGATTGGCTTATTTCTGCTGCTCGACAAATTTGCGTCACATCCTGCACTGTTAGTGTTTTGGTCTCCTTAATCAATGCTTTTTGTACTTCTGGGTAATTATGATTACACACTATGTGGTAAATTAACATTCTATCCACGTATGAAGTTTTACAATCGGCTTTAGAGCACACAAAATTGCAGTTAAGTGCTTGACTTTTTAGCTCAGTTAAGTAATTGTCAAATGTTTGTCCTATAGAATGTTTTATTTTATTGAATTTATAGGACTCCATAGCCGAATTGACTTTAGGAATACAAAACTCATCAAATGATTTTAAAACATCTTCTAAAGTATCTTTCTTACCTTGGAATGTAGAATGTATATCTGTGGCTTCCTCACCCATTTGTGTTAATAGAAAGACTATTTTCAATTCCTCACCTGTTGATTTATACTTATGTATAGCCTTTAAATAGAGAATGAAGGCCTGTTTCCATTTTGGCCACTTCATTGCTATGTTCTTGTAAAATTGAAGAGATTGTCGCAGCTAATTCGAATTATTCATTTTTAATTAGTAGGTATTTCACCTGACACCATGTACTAGGTATGATTAATTAAATAAAAATACTTTTAGATCATTTAGGTATGCTTTATTATTCATTAAAAATACAACAACTGTCTTATCTTAACCTGATTAACATAGGTAATCGATTATATTATCATTGAATATACAAAGAGGCCAGTCTTATATTACAAAATATTATACTAGACATATAATAAAATGATATATAATAATTTAAAGTATCAGACCCATACAATACGTTTATTTTCAACATAACAAAGATGAACCAAATTCAATAAATAAATCCCACAACTCGCATGAAATGTATAAAATCAGCCAATGTAAGATTTTTTTTTATATATATACATAAAATTAAATAGCCTTTTTATGATAAACAACCTTATTTAGGTTATTCATTTTTTTGTGAGATTTTTATATAATTATTATATTTAATCAATACATGATTAAGTCTGTACAAAAACTCCTTTTAATCTCACAACCTTTTATTTCACAATTAAAACATTTTTTTATATATTCAAGAATTAGTATTCAATGTTTCGGCTCTCTACCATAGAGAAAGGGCATAGATTTGACTTTGAAGGTGTAGAAACTATCTACAAAAAAAAAATAATAAAAATACTTTTAGAAGAAAAACCCTGGAAGCAATAACAATGCAATAAATTTTAAATCTGATTCAAAAAACATAAGCCAAAACTAGGCAGAGCTTTTAAAAAAGTTAAATAGATAATGTTAATTCTTAAACCCTATAAACTTAATAAATTAAAATTAAACACAATAGAGGGCACCTTGATATGGTAGTGAGTCAGTCTAGACTACAGCTTAATAAAGATAATATGAAGGCAATTGAAAAGGAAAGAAAATAAGGTAATAGTATTTTCAATTTTCTCTGTTTTTTTGACATGCATGTTTCCACTTATTAAATTTTCTTCTAATTAAATTAACTCAGCAATGTATGAATTCAATTAAGTGAGATTGTATCCCACTTTAATTTTGTTTTTAATATACATTTTAATTTGTTAAATAAATCAATGAGATTGGATTTCTTAAATTTTTTCAACTCTACTTTCTCAGAACTTTCCAAACCTATATCTTCATATTTTATTATTTTTATGGTTTGATTGTAATTTTCTATATCGTATCCATTTTCTATATTATATTCATTTTCGGTAAAAAAATTACCGTTTTTCAACCAAATATTTGTATTATTATTTCTTTGATATAAAATATAATTAATACTCAAAGTATAGTCCATTATTATCTACCGTCATTAGCCATTTGCTAGCTCGATCCCAAGCAGAAACCATTTGGGATGGCTGTCAAAGAGCTCTTGGACTGCAATTACAACTTCTGCAAAATCATCAATTTTTTTTCCCTTGAATAAAATGGGCCACAGATCTAAATAAGAAGTAATCTGATGTTTCTAAGTCTGGACTATATGGTGGATGAGGCAAGAGTCTCATATCAGAATGGTTTTTCAATAAATTTTCAAAAATTTCTAATCTCTTAGCTGATTGCTAAGGTGTAAGTTCGTAAGAGACCAGTCTACTGCTCTTTTTTACCTTCCCCATGGAGAGAGTAGATGGCAAATAACAGAATCTTTTGACACAACACAGTCTCTGGCAAGTTCGTGAGTACTCATGGGTGGATTTCAGTTAACAGATTCCTCCAGAACCTCATCAATATCCATTAAAGGTCGCCCAGAGCCCTTCTTTGT